AAAGCATGATTAGGTTTTAATTAATTAGCTTCTCCTCCAAGCAAAAGAGCGGGTCGGACCGGGTCGGTTGGTGCGCGGGTCGGCTAAGGGTACGAAGACCGGGTCGTTTCGACAAAAGCAATAACATAAACGAGGCTCGGATAGAGACGATCGATAATTAAATAAAACCGGAAGAAAATATATATATATTACATAATACACATTTTATTATTACTAATACGCAATTAAACACATTATAATTAAATACAATACACATAATAATATTTACAATTAATACACATTAATCACATAAAATTACTTAGGCAAATTATAGGAAAAAAATATTAATAAAAATAATAATGCCGATATAATAATATCCGAAGATAAATCCAATAATTCGAATGGGTTAACTCCAAGCTACGCGATTAATAAAATAAATATAACCCAATAAATAATATTTGATAAATAGAATATTCCGAGAAATTCTATAAATCAAACGAGGTGTTACACTGGCACCACCGCCTGCACCACTGGTCCTCCTCGATGAGTCGCGACAGGATCTGCTTGCGACGGTGCGGAAACTGCCATCGGTGCTTTTACACGAGCCTCATGCTCTCTGTTCGTGCCTTCCCTCGCGACCGGGACTGCTGATATGACATCCGTACCTTGGGGTGTAGGTGTTGGGGCCACCGGTGTCTATAACGGCCCAGAAAAACCAGGTGGTGGTCCTGCTCCCATCGGCCTGGTTGTTGTCCAAGCATCGTCGAACGATGCTTTCAGATTCATAAGAGGAATTCTGTCCGTATGGTTGAGCTCACAACACAACTTTTCGAACAGAAGTCCCCATCGACGGCGCCAATAAAACAAGTGTAAACGTCTGACCAGCTGGAAACCACTCCAAGATCGTCTTCCTCGCTGGTAGAACGCCAAACCTGCAAATAACTCTCACACTGGGGGATTTTTCTGGTGAAGAGCCTGTTGGAACCCACGAGGATCTCGATATGCACAAATCATAGACAAACATTCAACAT